TTAAATAATTGCGTCATATTAAAATAATTGCGTCAAATTATATAATTGCGGCATAATTGCGGCAAAATCACGTGATTACGTCATATTAAAATAATTGCGGCATTGCAGCACAATTGCGGCATTGCATCATAATTGCGTCAATTGCATCAACTATAAAAAAAACCATTTGACTCAATTATTAAATTCTTGATTTTTAATTGCGTTTGACTCAATTCAATAATTTTCACCACATATATAATCCAATAATTTTAGTAGCTGCATGGTTCGAGTAATTAAGCTTGCTTGTTGTGATAATGTTTTCATGTTTTTTTTTAGTTAGCATTATTAATTATGATTTTTTTTTTCAAAAAAAATCATTATAAATATATACATAGTGATATACATGTAGTCTAATTGATTAAATTTTAATATATTATATTGATATTAAAATAATATCTGAAATATTAGTTATTAATTTATTTAATTATAATGATAAGATTTTCATGGTTTTATAATCATACCACGTGATACCTATACAGGAAAAAAATAGTATTTTTTTTTTGTTTTCTCCCTGTATCTAAATTTTTAAATCTGTTTTTAATTGAAAAATAGCAGATTTTTTTATATAACCTTTATTAATTTCAGAAACTGAAAATTAAAATATGTTTTGAGATCATTGGAAATAAATTTTAAATAAGGTTTTCCAATTAATTTTATAACTTTTTTTAGGAATCTTTTAAGTTTTCTGTAATCTATGAATTGGATATAAGGATAAATAATATATCAACTATATTTTTCAATATTTGATGAACTTATTAAAGCAAAAGTATTTAAGAAAGATATATATTCTGGAATAAGATTTAATATATCTATGCAAGCAACTAAAATTTAAGATATTAAATTATCTTGGATAATTTTTCACTATATAAAGAAGAATATTTAGAATTATTAAAATTAAGCTTTTGTCTTGCACCAATGTTAATTATTAAACAAAGAAGCTAGTTGTCATTGATACATTTATATACTATATATTAGGTATTTTATAAACTTTGCTAGAATAATCGATTACCATATAATCTTTTCTTGTCATTTAAATTATATATTAAGATAAATCTCTTCAGGTTGATATGTATTTAAAAGCACAATATCATTTTTATAAAATATATATTCTCTATGGCTAGATTTATATCAAAATCTGTTAAATTTATAAAATACCTTTTTGCTTTATTGTATTTGACTGACTTTTGATTTAAGCACTGTTGCTGTAATGATTTATAAAGATGTTTTTTTCTTTACTAGACAAACTTATTATATTGATTTATATATATGCTATTTATATATACATATTGTTTAATCTGATAAAAGTATATGTTTTTGAAACTATAATAATTGATAGATAAATCTTTAAAATTAAATTAATTATTTTAAAGTGTAAGTTTTGATATTGGATTTGTTATTACTTTCATCAAGAAAAAATATACATTTGATTGAAGTAATTATTATATATAATCACAATAATATTATATTATTGCTTATACAGTATAATCATAGAACTGGAGAAATTTTTGGTCAAGATAGTAAATAAGAAAATTATTATACAATATTCATTATAATTCTCCAATACCTACTTCTTGTAAAAATTGTGATAAGTCAAATACTGTAGATCTAAATATAATATATGAAATAAACATGTAGGCAAATATAAAAGTAAAGAGAATTATTATAGAAAAAAGCAGGATGCATTATATAAAAACTTGCGATGTTTGAGAATCATATACCCAATTCTATGCACAAAGTATAATCATATACATGGTATACTGTATATATATATTGATTAAATCATACATAAATAAAATATTAAAATTATACTTCTGTCTTATCACTTATCTAGAATACACAAAATACAATAATACTTAGCAAAAATTGTATTGTGATTGTGAATTATAACAAATTTCGTAATGTCTCAATATTCTGAAAATGAAATTAAAACTAAGCAATTACATTAATTTTGACGTTTTACTAAACAATTACAGTTGGTATGTAGTTTGCATTGCTCCAATTATCTATTTTAACTTTAATAATTTTCACATTTGCCTTTCTTTATTGGACCTAATGATATACTTAACAATCTGGATTTCTTGCTGTAAACTAGAATTTTTCTTTTGCATTTTCTATGTAACCGTAAGTTAGAAAGTAAGACACCATTTGTGTGATCACAAATTATTTTCAACGTAGACTGAAACAATATGAATATAATAGTAAGATCTTGTATATACCAACTGCAACAATACAGTCCTAGTTGAAAGTAATAGCTGTGACACTTCGTTTACAATTTTCTGTGCAATTTACCTACTTTCCAAATTAAACTAATTCAAAATTTTAGTAAGTAATAATGCAACCAATCGGGAATATATTTAGGTAAATCTCACGAGATCTCTTTTGTTTACTTTTCCTTTTTTTTCTTTAAATACCTACCAATAACAATTAATAATAACCGTTCGAGAGTTAAGATTTTGTGGGAAAGTAGTATCCGCAGTCCAGCTAAAATTTCACAGTAAATCAGTGTTCCCTTGCACTTTTGTGAATGTTATATTGTCCTCTTGTGTAAGACCAGTTATATTCCTAAAATTTATTGTCCAGGTTGTTCACGAAAAGCCAGCCCTAAAATATGCTATTAGATTGAACAAATTGTCAAAAGTAATCATTTTGTAACAGTCAATGAAATCAAAGCAAGACTTGAGGAAACCCATCCAAACTTCGAGATTGATAAACGCACCATCCATACTGAGCTCACAAAGCTTGAATTTATTGCTATACTTTCCAAACATGTTCCTCTTCTTACAGAATATATGAAGAAAAACTGTTTGCAATGGGCACATGATCATCACCATTATAACTGGAGTAGAGTTGTGTTTTTTGACAAAACCATACTACAAATGTTCCGGAACACTTGTCTTGCATGGTCTCGTGGTGGACAACCTGTGGCACCAATGGTTAAGCATCCTTTTAAGCTACACATTTGGGCAGTGATCAGTGAACATGGAAAAATCAGCTTTCACAAGTTTACAGAAAATTTAGGCTGTCATCTTTATCATAAAATACTAAATGATTGTCCTTATGATAATGCAACAGAGAAGTATGGAACCGATGGATCTTCCAGCAGAATAATGACCCAAAACATACTTCCAAGGATGTTCGCAGTGACCTTCAAGCCAGACTTCCATGCCATGTTCTGCCATGGCTGTCATATAGCCTGGATCAGAATTTTATTGAGAATGTTTGGGCTTTTTTAAAACATAACATAGAAAAAAAGTAAAAGGGATGGTGGCAAAAAAAAAAAGATGACACAAGAGATTTTTACTTCATTAGCAAGAGAAGAATGGGAAAACCTTCCGGAAGAGGTAATTCTTTCGGATATTTGTAATATGCCTGCTTGAATTCAGGCTTGTCTAGATGCAAACGGAGGCCACACTAAATATTAGTTTTTTTTTTTTTTTAATGTACTGTTCTTAAAGTATATTTAAATTAAAAAAATTTTTAAGTTAATACTTAAAAAATCACGTAATATAAAAAAAACTGCCCGCCATTACTTTCAGCCGGGACTGTAGTAAGCATATATTACTTTGATGTCCGACATAGTAGTATAAAAGCCTTCAAGAATTGAAAGCGTTTTTAAAGTATTGGGCATATTTTTCTGAGAAAGCCTTCCTAAGCGTAATACATTTGTAGCCTTACAGTCCATGCCATAAGTTTCGTGGATCAACCCTTAACATGAGAATAAAAGTGAGTTAGTCACAAAATTCGAAATTTAATTATTATATTTTTTCCTACCCCACGTTTGAATTCCAAGAACATATGTACTATGAAGCTCATTTCCAGATGCATTGGGATTGGTTTAAAAAAATTATACAGAACATCGCGCATTGCTACGGAAAGATCCACTCTATCCTCGTGAATTTTTTTGCGATGTGCAACAGGGAGATCACCACTTCTAAGGCCAATAATGGCTTCAAGGTTATTAATGCTGTTTTTCAAAGTACCCCGAAAATCGCACTTTTGGCCTATGTGTGCTCGGAGGACTATTGGGCGTCCCTCGTTTCTTCGACAGGGCAGAAGCCCAACAAGCAATTTCCCCGCTATAGAATTGTAAAAAAATCAATTACTACTTAAAGATTTACACATTGTATTCTTATTTATACTTACACGCACGTCCATTTTGAGATCACGTTTGTTTAAAAATATTTTTGTTAACATATTTGGAAATTAATTGTCAAAGTCGGCTTCTGATATGGGAACTTCAAGATCCTTCAAATTTTCGTCACTGTGATAAAAGATTGGAAAATTTAGATAAAAATTATGTTATGTGCTATAATCTATCAAATGTAATAAAAGAAAATGATTATTATATTTAACTCACTAGGTAATAACTGCACGTCTTAATCCATTAAATATCTCCTTATCCTCATCACTAAATTTGACTTTCTATTTTTTTCTATCTCCGGAGTCAAATCATCAATCGCATTGATAATTTTTTTGGATACCTAAAAATATAGTGTTAGTGCCATTTTAAAAAAATGCTATAACAAGATAGATCTTTCATCAACCTTTTCCACTTCATCGAAAAAATATTCAACAACATTTTGTATATCCGATTCAACTAATTTTCTTCCTTTTTAAAGCTTTCATTTATTTCTTCCCAATCATCCGTTGAAAAAAAAGGGTTATTTGGGTGTCTTCTGTTAAATCGAGTACGCGAGGCTATAAAGAAATTCTAAGATTAAATATAATCTAATTTTTATAAAATTATGGGATTGACAATATGTCACATGACATTCAAAAAACTTACTTCAAACATTTATGAGCCTCAGGAATTGTCTTAACATATTTTGCTAATTCGTCTCCAACGTTGGTACCACTTTTGAGAACCCATGATCGACGAGTTGTTAGTTGTTTTCTTCTCCATGTTCTATGAAGTTATTATCACTGTCGCCATCGTCGATACCATCTTTATAAACCTTGTCATCATTACCATCGCTTATAAAAAATTCTTCGATTTCGTTTATATCCCCTCTTCCTGATCTTCCTGATCTTCTTCACTTATACCTAAGTTGGTATTTTTTGCCAATGATTCGTCCTGTAATAAAAATTTTCATAATCGGTTAATATTTATGGCAAGCCCTTTAGTTATTTCTGAAGAGTAATAAACTTACCTTGTTTAGTGACAGCGTGTTTATTTCTTGATGAAGATTAAGATTGGTACTACGTACATTACGATGAACAAGAATCTACGTAATGCAGAATTTTATCAATGCTAGGTCAACTATCTAAAAAACTAGAAACCGAACATACCGCTGTTTTCTGTTGCATCCAGGATTCCCAGTCTTCCATCATCTTTTTTTCCTATCCAAAAGAAGTTTAGTATTATATTTTACAATATAACACAAAAAATATTATTAAGTAACTACTTACATTCACCATTTTTTTGAGCTTATCCAGGATTTCCCGGTTATCAGTTTCACCCAAAGCCGAATTAAGGTTGTATGGTATTTTTCAGAAGATTTAATTCGATGCGTTGGAAATATATATTAAAAAACGCAAGCGGAGTTGGATTGGGACAAGTTAACATCCAGTTAACGTGACGTTCTTGTAAGGTTATGTTAGCATTTCCTTTTCCCATGGTAAGCTTACGAAATAGAAAAAATCAATATCTTGCTGAACGAAGTAAATGCAGTAAACAGTAAAAATTTGTTGCTCTTCAAAATAAGGCCGGCCACCCCTACACGATGACTTGCCATTACTGGCTTCCGACAGTCTCCCTCTGTCGCAGACGCCTTATGTTGATTAACAACTTAATAACTTCTGAACAATTAGATTAACCGGCCATCCCTACACGATGACTTGCCATACTGGCTTCCGACAGTCTTCCTCTGTCGCAGACGCATCTTCATTGCTTAACAGAGGCTATTTTTCTGTTGCAGGCACTAACTAAGCGAAAACTTCAACCCACCTAATTGATTGTTGTTCGAAAGTCGAGATAAAGATTTATTGATTTATTTTGGACAAAAACCGGGATAAATTGTCACGATCAGACTAATGATCCGTGACAACACTGCTGATCAACGATTCATTCGATTTTATTCTGTGATTTTATAACATGACATCATAACAAATAAATATTCAGCGCAACATGAAAACATAATTTTAACTTGGAAGGTAAGTAATTTAAACATTGATTATATTGCTTAATTTATTATAATTTTTTATTTATTATAAAATGTCAGCCTTTAACCAGCTTTTCAAACATATTGAGGCTCTTGTTGTTTCTTCGAAAAGACCATTTCTTTCAAGAGTATTCTTTGCTATAGAAAAAACAGATTCACAAGAAACACTTGTGGCTTGCAATGTGAAGTAATCTGTAGCCATGCAGGCCACTGTTGAAAAGCAAAGAGCATTAATTTTTCATTACACCAGTGGATTAATACTTAGTTCTGGAGATAGGGAAAGGTAAGTAGCTAATTCATTTGTAGTTTCTTATTTTTATTTGACTAAATTAATTTTTAAAAAATTTCTTGTACATCTTCTTGTTTAGGTGATAATACTACTGTATAATATGCTAAATAAGAAATCTTTAAGAAATTAGTGGCCACCTGGTAATTTTCTTCATTATGAATTTAATTAATGGATTAAGAAAAATAGGTATAGTCAAAGTTATGAAAATTAATTTCAATAGTTTAACAACTTATTCTTCATATTTTGCTATTTAGTGATACATACTAATGTTTAAAATATAATAATCAAGATGTACAGTCAACATCAAAAGTAATATTTAATTTTTTTATATAATTATATAGACAGATATATATGTTGTATTTATTCTATTTTGAATATATTTAAGATTTAATTTTTTATTTGTTTATTTCTTTAATGGTTAATCTAATATAGAAAAAAATATATTAGTTATAATATAATATGTTCTTATATCCAGCTCATTGATGCAAACAAAGAAAAAATTCTTGCTTATATCAAAAATATAAGTGTTAAGCAAGTTGCTTGAAAAATAAGATATAATTCTACAACAATATGTTTTTTT